AGTAGGTGGGGCCACATCAATTTTAACAAAAGACATCTCTAACAAAGAGATATCATATGTAACGTGAGGGCATCTCTACTTTAAGCAAATGTCAAATGCCAAAAGATTGATCTTCAAGAATTCAATGTGAGATTTCATAGAATCTGATTTCATAGCATCTTCAACAGTTCATAACGTGAGATTTTGCAATTACAAGGGAGTACGGTACAATCTTTCACAAGAATATTATACAGAATTTTTCCTATTCCGATCTTGTCGTCACATGTTTTATTGCAATTAACGTGTGTTAGAGGAATTGTCAAAAAAATCGATTCAGATATGTTAAAGCTATCCCTTCTTCCCTTTTGGCATGATCTATACGACACAAACGGAACGAGCAAATGCACAACTTCCATAAATGACTCTATTCGTAGAAATGCTAAAGATGTTTACATTCTTGATTTCCAATATGTTTTATTATTCTATCGTCTGTTCATGGGTCTTAGAAAATACGTAAGTTGATAAAGTCTATTTTATGATATTAATCAGAGCCATAATGGTCTTATGACATTCCGAAAGATTTTATTGACGTAATTCTCATGCATTGCATTCCTTTATACATGCAAATTGACCCATGACCATATGACGTTATATATGTGTATATATGTATATTATATGTATATGAGATATGGGAAAAGGTTACGGCATTATATACACACCACCACCTGATCAGCTAATATACGTTGATAATGTTGCCCACAGTGGTCGAGATAATATGATGGGATGCCCTCAGAGGCTTGATGATGTTATGTACACCTATACCTATGCATGACATGACATTTACACGCACGTGCATGACATTATAATTGTTTCAGGATTTACAAAGTTATTTAGACTTACAGGCAGAATTCCTTATTCCATGTTTCATCTATGTCTCTTATGTACTGATTTTCATGCCTTACATACTCAGTACATTATTCATACTGACGCCCTATTTCCCGGGGTCTGCGTTTCATGCTCGCAGGTGCACGTAGACAAGAAAACGGCCCCCTTCTTAGTATCCTTGATTAGCGAGAGTTGGTGTGCTCCATTTGATCCGGAGCTGCTTTAGATTTTGGTACGATAGGTTTGTTTACATATATGGGTATGACGAGGCCCAACCATGTCCTTGTACATTAGTATATTCTGTTAGAGGTATGTAGATATTATGTATAGGTGGATAGTATGTGGCCTTGTCGTCTTTCAGTTTTGGATATATAGTTGTTTATAGCAGCCTTGTCGGCTCGCACTACGTATTTCGCACGCACATGTATATATGTCTTTTGGACAAATTTTCCTCACGCATGTTATTCACGTAATTCAGCGGATGTTATCCATGATTCATATATTAGTCGTATGCTTAAGGGTGTCTGACAGGTAGGACTCGGGCACCCGTCGCGGCCCATCAGTTAGATCATGACAACTTGTTTCCTCCTAGTCCACTGATTGCACTTCGAAAAGGTATACGGTCCACACTTAATCCTAATCTCCATTATATCGGTTTAAGTTATCATCGCATGTCATCACCCCATTATGTGTTTGTATCATTTTTATCCTATGTTTCCATCCCTAAGTCTATAGGTGAAGAAATGTCTCATCCAGGATGGCAACAAGCTATGATCGACGAGATGTCTATCTTATATACGAGTGGTACTTGGGAGCTTGTTCCTCTTCCTTCAGGTACATCTATTATTGGTTGTCACTGGTGTATGCAGTTAAAGTTAGTCTAGATGGCCAAGTTGATCGACTTAAGGCTCGTTTTCTTGCCAAAAGGTATAGTTAAATATTTGGGCTCCATTACAATGATACTTTCTCTCCCACGGCTAATATAGCATATGTCTGCATTTTTCTATCCATAGTTGTTGTTCGCTATTAGCTTCTCTATAAATTGAAAATTAAAAATGCTTTTCTTCACAATGACCTTGAGGATGAAGTTTATATGAAGCAACTACCCGATTTTGTTGCTTAATGGGAGTGTAGTAGCCTTGTATGTTGGTTACGCTAGTCACTCTATAGTTTAAAGCAATGTCCTTAAGCTTGGTTTGATAAGTTCGGCATAATTATTTAGGAGTTTGGCATGAATCATAGTGAAACTGATAACTCCGTATTTTATCAGCATTATGTTGAATATATTGTTATTACCAACAATGATCAGGATGGTATTATTATATTAAAGCAACATCTATTTCAGCACTTTAGACTAAGGATCTGGGAAAATTAAAGTATTTTTTATGTATTGAGGTGGCTCAGTCTAGCTCAGGTATTGTGATCTCACAATGGAAGTATGCCTTAGACATTCTTGAGGAGACATGAATGAAAGGCTGTAGATCCATTGACACTCATATGATCCGGATTCTACACTTCTGTCAGGACAGACTGAGTCGCTTAGCGATCCTGCAAAATATAGGCGCTCTTTGGTAAATTATTGTGATTCAGTTTATGAATTCTCCTTGTGATAGTCATTGGGATGTAGTTGTCCCCAATTTTCAGTATATAAAATCAGCTTCACAAAAGATTATTGTTTGAGGATCGGGGACATGAGCAGATCGTTGGATACTCAGATGCTAATTGGGCATGATGAACTTCTAATAGACATTCTATGTCTGGATATTGCGTTTTAGTAGGAGGTAATTTAGTATCTTGGAAGAGCAATAAATAGAGTGTGATTGCCCGGTCTAGTGCAGAAGCAGAATATCGAGCAATGGCTATGGCAACATGTGAGCTAGTGTGGATCAAACAGTTGCTCAAGGAGTTGAAATTTAGTGAGATCAGCAAGATGGAACTTGTGTGTGATAATCAAGTTGGCGTTCATATTGCATCAAATCCGGTGTTCCATGAGAGATCTAAACACATTGAGATTGACTATCACTTCGTGAGAGAAAAGATACTCTTAGAAAATATTGCTACAAAGTTTGTGAAGTCGAATGATCAGCTTGCAGATATTTTCACCAAGTTCCTCACTGGTCCTCTTATTAGTTACATATCTTACAAGCTCGGTACATATGATTTGTATGCACCGTCTTGAAGGGGAGTGTTAGATAGTTATGTAATTAGTCCTACTCCCACATAAAATAGGAGTAGAATATGTTACAGTTATAAATAGGGCTCGTTGTATTATAATTAATTAACCAATAATATTAATTCCTGTGCTAGTTCTCACATGAACTGCATTTGATGTTTATGTTCCAATGAAGGTTCTATATTTTTGAGACCAATAGAGATTTGAAGAGTATGAATTTGGGTGTGACATCTCAAAGTTTAATATTGGGGTTTTGACATAGTTACCCACAAAAACAAAATTATTTATCCTTGTCTATCCATTTGTTTTTCTTCCTATAAACTACATTTTCTACCCATAATAATTTTTGTGGGGAATTTTTCCTTTATTCTCCAATTCTTTTTTTTTATTTCTACGCTTCTTTTCTTCTTCTTTTTTTTCTTTTCTCCTTTTCTTTTTTTCTCGTTTTCTTCTTATTTTTTCTTTTCTAATTCATTTAACTTTTTTTTATTCTTTTTCTCTTCATTACTATTTTCACTGTTTTTATTATTTTTTTTATACAATAAGAAAAAATAACTGATATAGTAAATATTTGTTCACTTTTTTTAATATAAATAATGCAATATACCTTCTATTTTTTTTCTTTCTCATTTATTAAATTTAATTATTAAACTAAAATAATATTAGTTGTCACTTGATCTAATTCACTGAATATTACATTGATTGCTGCATAATCAGATTCTAAGAATCAACACGTGATTGCCATGCAAACCTTGATCTACTTCCCTATAAATATTAGTACACACTCTACCATTAGCAGTAATACAACCAGTTATAGAGCAAGAAAATATAATCTACGACAACCAGATCTCCATATATACTAGTTAGAATAAAAATGACGATAAAATATTAAAAAATACAACATAAGTATAAGTAGCAAAAAAGACTTCTAGTACCATGTAACACCAATATGGTATATATGTATACCAACAGAGCATGTGATTTCTCTAGAATATTGCTACACCTATCTGCAACTATACTACTATACCAAAACATTAAAGGACGCAATAAAAGTATGAGAAAATTACATGCTTGTATTGCAAGCTAAATATTCGCAAAACAACTTGCTCATTTTGTATACTAAAAGGGTATATAGTTGTATGGAGTTGTTTCAACAATTGCCTATAACTATAAAAACTATTACATAATACACATAATTTATGTTCATCGGCACACAAAAATTTCAGATTGCAACTCATGTTCATATAAATAATTTCATAATAGAATTCACTTAAGATGCAGCTAAAACAACCAAAACAATATTCAACTACCATATGATACCAACATGGCATATAACTATACCAACATGGTATACAATTTACTAGTTAATTCCCAGCAACTATATGACTATACTACTATTACATAACACACATGCATAAAGAGAAAAATAAAAAAATAGTGTACCATTTATTAATATAATAAGGTATTTCAAGATATTGTACTATATTACTATTATTAAGAGAAAATCAAATATTGCACCAATTAAATGCAACTAATACAACCAAAAAATGATCCAACTAGCTTATGATACCAATATAGTATATAGCTATACTAATAGGGTATATAGTTGGAATGAATTGTATACTAAAATGGTATATTTGTATCCTATTTGAGTATACAATAGAAAATCGTCTTCTTCTCTAGTTCAACTATATTTCAACCCAAATTTCTAAAATCTACTACAAAATCTCCACCAAATTGACTAAAACTTTAGCTACAACCTCAAATCAACTTTTCAAACAAACTTATACAGGATCAGATCAAAACAATTAAAAACTCAAACAAACCAAGTTATGAGTTTCAAGCTTCAAGGTCCTTCAATGGTGGATTTAAATTTTTGTACAATAAATCTCCAAAAACCAGCATCAAAAGTACAATCTACACATCAAAGAACAATAACTAACGAATTTCAACAGTAAAACACTATAAAAAAATCAGATCTGGCATTTTGAACTCATTCATATGAAGTTTCAAAAATTGTTTCTTGAATTACAAATTATTTCAAAAACTGATCAAAGAATTACAGCGGGTTATCTTAAAGAATCCAAAACTATATTATGGCCATTTGTTGGTCATTACAATGGGAGACTAATTAATCGCTACCCCTTGAAAGCAATTTGACAGTGCCTGTTGTACCAAAACGTCTAGTTGCTGGTGGTATGACTCTTGATGGTGATAAGACTTGGGCAAAAGAAAAGTTGTAAGAATCTATTCCCAGCCGACTCTGCAATCAACCCCTCCCTCCAAAGAAGCCATCAGTCGTGAACTTCAAAAATTGGAGGAATGTAAAATGAGGAAGAAGAAGAAGAGGAACAAAATAATGACGGGTAAATAATTGGGAACGCATGAGTGGGAGTAGTAAATAGTTTGGGCCTGAACATTAAATGATAAATAGTTTGGAATTAATGGGTATAAAGTGAGATTTTCTCTTGAATATTGCCTACAATTCAATGTAGATTCTGGAGACGGTCCCCATGGAGAATTTGTATGTCCAAGAACTAAATATTACCCTCCTATTAAATGTAGAATCAACAAATAATTTGCAAAGGTAATAATTATAATTGCGTATAAGGTAAATTAAAGTTAATAATTTAGTGTCATAAATATTAGAATTTTCTACGGAATTTAAATAAGGAAAGATTAAATAACCAAAATTTTAGTGTCATAAATATTAGAATTTTCTACGGAATTTAAATAAGGAAAGATTAAATAACCAAAATTTTAGTTGTTTTGAAAGTTTAAATAATAGAAAATTTAGTGAATGACGTTTTTGTCCCATATGAATAGACAATATCTAAGAATATTTTACAAAATCCTAGCAACAATAAGTAATTAACAAACATGCCAGCTAATTATCTATATTTCTGGCCGAAACATTTAAAGCTTTACCAATTCAATTCCTAAATTATCGCCCATAATATCATATCATCTCCCATAACGGCTAAGTATAATGATGGCAAGACATGTCATATAAAAATCAAGAATTATTTACTGGGAATCTACAATGCATTATCAAAATTTACACCCCATTCATTCATTTGATATGTCTTTCTTGTACAACGCAAAGACAGACTACAATCGTCTATTTATACTTTAATTATCATATTATTGTTGTTTTATAACCTAATAAACAATTAATTTTAATAATAAATATTCATGGTTTAAAGCAAGTATATCTAATATATACATACACACACAAAGACTCTATTATTTACATACTACTATTATATACTATGTATTTGTACATATACAGTAGGCCAAATACATATACAACCCATTCGACTTGGCACTTTCATTTTGGCATTCTATTTCTACCTTATTCCATTTTGGCCCTCAAACTCTATTTTATATGTTCCATTTGGCCCTCCAACTTTATTTTGTATGTTCCACTTTAGCACAAGAGCTAAAATCAGTGAAAAAAATATAGCGCGTGTGTATACACAAATCTGAGGTGTAATAAATATCCAATTAAATGTTGCCACTTGGTTTTTTCATCCATGTCAAACGGGTCAATAATAAAATACCTGAACCCGACCGTATTTCTTTTTTATCCACAGCAGCCCCATCTTTATTCTCTAAGTTCCAAAGCTTTCATCTGCCGATTTCATACCTGACCCGTTTAGATGAAATAAACTCACAAAAAATATGGTCGGGTTTAGGTATTTTAGTATTGACTCGTTTGGTATGGATGAAAAAACCAGGTGACAACATTTAATTTACGCCTCAGATTTGTGTATACACACGCGCTATATTTTTTGCACTGATTTCAGCTTTTGTGTTAAAATGGAACATAAGAAATAGAGTTGGAGGGCCAAAATGGAACATATAAAATAGAGTTGGAGGGCCAAAATGGAACAAGGTAGAGATGAAATGCCAAAATGAAAAATGGTGCCTAGTTGAATGGGCTGCATATGTATTTCGCCTATATAGCATATTACTATTAACTACATCGTTATGGGTGGTATATCCATATTATACAATAACTTGAACATAAGTTGTTAATCATACATTGATTGACTAGATGAATATATATACGATATATATATATTCGACGTATATTAAATTTGATAGTTTGCTTTGACGTGATGAATAACATTGTTATATGAGCATATTAAAAAATATACAACTTATTTTTAGACTATATTATATTATCGGCCAACAATTCTCTTTAATACGAGTACAAATGATTTTGTTTGTTACAAAACACACACACACACACACACACATATATATATATATATATATATATATATACTAGTTTCTCAAAACGTGCGTTGCACGTTGTATCTTGTTAGTTATTAAAAAAAAACTTGTATACTGAAAATATTTCTCTAAGAATCTAAGAATATTTATAAAACTACATTATCAAAAATCAATGTTGTACAAATATTATATAACATAATTATAATACCTTTTTTATATATTTTTTAATAATACTTAGAGCATTGAAATTAGCTAACTATAGGAATCCTACTTTTGATTAAATTTACGTTATTATGTGAATGCCCACAAATTCGTCCGGCAAATACTATAATTTTGAAAGCATAGGGTATTGTAAAGAAAAGTAATAGACAGAGAAGACCCATATCTACAAAGTTTTAGAGGCCAATACAATAACTTTGCATTGTTGATATTAAACCATTCGAAATATTATCTTCTTATGATACGCCTAAATGAAAAATCAAAACAAAACATAAATAGTGCAATAAAAAGGCGTCAATTGTAGGAAAATATTGTAAATCATCCAAATAAAAGTATTCAACAATACAGAAAATTAAGAAAAATCTAATTTATAAGTACCATTAGCTAGATTCAACATTTTCCTTTAAGAGAAGAGATAATTTCAGATCTCCAATTTGAAATTATAACCTATTCTATAAAAGTTTTTTATTTTCACAGACAATTGATTTGAACGAAAATGGTCCACGTTAAGTTGTATTATTATTATTATTATTATTATTATTATTATTATTAAATTTAATTGTACTATTTTATTATGCGTTTCTCTTGAGAAAAAGTTTTTATTTTTACCAACTTTAGAAACAACGCAGTACTAATGTATTGCATTCGTGTATGTTTGCTTTTCCTTTTTCACAACAACCTAATAAACTTTTTTAGGAGATATTATAAATAAAAAGTTAGTTAGAGTTTTTTAATTCCATAAAAATATTTAGGGATAAATAATAGTCACTATGAAAGTAGACATCCATTAGAACTATAATTAAATTGAAGCTGATAAATAATTCTTGCATCTCAAATTGAAGATTGTTTCTCGGATTGAAATAAAAAAGTAAATAAAAAGTTGAATTAGAATATGAACCCGATTATGTTTCCATCAAATTCTTCCGGTCTATCAAGGTGATTGGGTGACTCAGAAAATACCTTGCCAAACGGTGTGGGAGAAGTGATGAGGGGATTGCTTCTATCGGTTAATCTCCTCCTTTTGTTCACTGTTCTTGTTACATCGGGTGCCACTTGCACATAAATATCTTCTTTAGATGATAAGACCATATCCTTTGCACATAAATGTCTTCTTAACGCTACGTCGCACCTTTTCGGAAATTTATTTTTCTCATGAATTGTAACACAAATGTTTATTTAACTATTATTATTATTATTATCTTTATATATTACTAAAAGGATATTTTGGTAATTTAACTTTTTAATTTTGACTTCCCCCTTTCAATATAGTACTAGTTTCTCGGCACATACGTTGCACGAGCATATTGAGTCATGTAATATGCGATTTTATAAAATAATATTAATATTATTTAAACAAAGCTTTCAGTAAATGGTTGTACAAGAAAGAATATGTCGAGATTAGAATAATTGATATAGTCAAAACCTACAAAGTTGAACAATCAAAATTCAATTAAATATATGTGAAATATTTTATTTATTTTGATTTTATGCGGTACAAACATGTAATGAATAGTACCTTATCCAATACTTCTTTATAGACGATATTCCCCGTGTATGTTCATTTTATTTGAATTAGTTGTTCTGTCATGACAGGACTCTTGTTGTCTATACTAATATTCCTCTTGAAAGTAGTACCACTGTTACTAACATGCAAATTATCTCACAAAAGTAATAAGTATCAAATAATTATGTGTGAAAATAGTTCATAAATTCCTTAAATGTTTTACCAAGATAGTGCCGTCACTATATTTTTCCCGTCTTCCAAGGATACAAATCATTTTGAATTTTTTGGGATAGGAATGTCATTGTTGGATTCCTTTATAATGGCGTTATTAGTAAAAATAATTCCAACTTCTCTGTGCATTGAAGAGTAATTGGGAAAACACGATATGTTGGGTCATTAAGAATATAGTAGCTCATATTTGGTTCAGAGAAATTCTACTATTCTACATATTAGGGAAAATATTGCTTGGATCTTTACCCCTTTTAAAAACTTTAACCAACAGTTGAAGTCATTTATAAAAATAATATAAATTAGTAAAAAATATAATATAAATTTAAAATGGCATTACTCTTCGTCAATTAATATTATAAGACTAAAATTTACATTGTGACTTGAACTTTTGTGTCTTACCAAAACCTCTTCGAGTTATTATACTTTTATTGTTGATCAGTCACATGAATATATTTTTTGTGCTGAGAAACAAAAGAATAAATAAATCTGACCCACAAAAAGCAATGGTACGAAGAAAACTTTTGTAAATCATATTTTTTTCTTTACATTTTCACTTTATCTAAGAATTTAGGACTTTAAACAAAGACTCTTGTTTAGAATAATTAGTGTAGAAACTACCTTTAAGGCTACAAAAAAAGAAGAAGGAGCAATCTCAAACTTTAGGATTGACATGTTAACAAAATTATATTAAGAAAGATTTTCTTAAAGAGGTCTCCTGGAAACAGCCTCTCTACCTTTCGGAGTAGGGGTAAGGTCTGCGTACATACAATCCTCCCCAGACCCCACTTGTGGGATTATACTGGGTCGTTGTTGTTGTTGTTGTTTCTTAAAGATGATTTAGTCATAAAAGGAGAGTACATATTCAAATAACAGATGTTACAGTAGATGCGATAATATGTTCCAGGAACTTTACTGTTCCCTGTTCCAATACTCCCTGAAAACGAAAAGAAGATCAATGAAACAAGCAACAAAGAAACATTTTTAGAATCATGTTTGACATCCCAATTCAAGGGCAAAGCAACAAACGCAATTAGATCTACTCCATAACATTTAGACATCCAAATTAATAGTCTGTGTCAATCATACTACCTTTAGAATTGAATTTTGAACTCATGGTTGATATCAATTTTGGGAAAGAAGTAACATAGTCATAACTTTAAATTATCTATCCTACCATTCATATAAATAGGACTTTACAAAATCACGAAAAATAGGGAATAGTTAAATAGATTATAAATGGAGGCTTGTGTATGGAAAGGTTGTGATCTTAAAGAAGAAGCATGAAACGTTGCTTGCTTAGCCGTTAAAAGTAGGCGTCTATCACTTGCATCTATTTGTAGTTTTTTAATATTTAAATTAAATATGTTAGTTTAGTAAATAAGGANAAAAGTGGGAACATTATAAGTCAAAAGTTAATTTACAAATTTACCCATCAAAAACTGAGTGACAATTTTGCCCTTACAATCAAATACTATTTCAACAATATTTGTGTACAAAGAGGTAAATATATATTCTAATGAAGATTAAAAAAAAAAGTTAAATTAAAAAAGACATAAATGTGGACACATTGGCATTGAGAGGGTCAGCTTTTAATAAAGCCACTGGGCTTCTTCGGAGAATGGTGCATGTAATCTGTGAGAACTTTAAAAATAGTCAGATTTACGAGTGGTCATTTAAAAATAGCCACAGTTTCAAAAGTAAAATTTAGTCACTTTTTATGTAAAGATAAATCTAAATGAAAGTACTGTTTAAAATCCGAAAAAATACTCCAGCATAATATACTGGAGTTCCAGTATAATATACTGGAGTTTGGAGCATTGGTGCTCCATTCTCCGGTATATTATACTGGAACCAGCAAAGTATACCGGTCCAGCATAATATGCTGGAAGTTCATGTACAGGTGCACCGAACTCCAGATATTATGCTGGACCAGTCTCAGTTGCAGCAAAGTAGTGACTATTTTTCAATGACTTAACAAACGCTGACTATTTTTGAATGACCAATCCGAAAACTGGCTATACCGTGCTATTTTAACGTAAGCTTGAGCATTTTATTTTTTCCGCATTCAAAATTGCAACAGTACAAAGTGCATTGAATATCGCAATTATAATTGAAACTGTTACTCAAAATGATTTACTTCATCTCTCGAAGAAAACCAACAGTTATACAATTAAAATTATAAATTAATGGCTATCTCATCCGTTAAAGAAACCCATCAAACACTCAATTAAATTCTTATCAAACATCATCTGCATATATAAATTTCCTTTGAAATCGAATTGAAATTTCTTGCTTCCGTAAAATATTGTAAATTTTGGTTAAGCTTATATGTTCGCCTCCTGCATCACACAAATCTACTATATAAGTATCAACTCAAGTAAGTAATATTTTTGCCTTTACTCTCTATGAAAATTCATGATACTATATATTCTTATTTATGCAAATTATGGCAAGAAAAACTAGAACACTTCCTATTAGAGCTATCAATTTTTTTGTGGTAACCATATATCTGGAACAAATGATATATCAAGCATTTGGCAGTTTATTGTCATATTTGGTATAAGAGTAAACTTAGTTTGGTTATGCAGAAACGCAGAAACCACCAAAGATAATTTGGTTATCAAACTGTTTTAGATATTCAAGGCGTCTACTCTTTTCATGTATAATTCTTCAAGTATTTCCTATAATTTTGTTGTAACTATAAATTTATAAGTTTTAAATTAAATTCTCAAGAAATCAATATCTATATTCATGTATGCATATGTACAGAGAGTGGATGTGTTATATCTATTGTTTAGCATAAATTAAATACAAACATGTAGCGCATTTGAAAATCGAAATTCTATGAATGCAAATATTATTTGTAGGGATAAATTATCTCACTATTAATCCATCAATATAATTATATTTTAAATATTATAATTACATACATAAACCCTTGATGCAAGTTTGGTGCTTAAGAATAAATGAATTTTGGTTACAGACCTATTATATTGTTGTATAACTAAAGTTTAAGGTAAATAATGGTTCATTTTAAAGTAAACTTTTTCAACCTACGTAGACCCAAAAAAATTATTACTGGGACTATTCTTGTTGTATTGTTAGGATGCTGGGTAACAAGGCTCTTCAAGAAAAACCAATATATAACATAGCATGAAAGTCATATATATAATGGCAGCCAAATATAAAGGATAAGCTTGACTATCTTATTGTTTTCTAATTCTGTACTACTAGAAATGTCTTATATTTTCTTTAGCACTTTCATTGCGCCATAAGTAAGGTCATGTATGTGCTCTGTGGTGTTTGCTTTTCCTTGGAATCCTAGCTTGCTACACTACTAATGAAGGTTCATGCTTGTAACTCTACTTTATCTTATTTTATTTCTTGAATCATTTCCTTTAACATTAATCTTAAACCACAACCAACTGAGCTTTGCCAATCGGATAGCCTTACAAGCAAAATCTCCCTAAACTAACATTTTGGAATGTTTTAATAATATCGAAGCATTTTAATATTAACAATTCATCACATTTTTAGCGTGTACGTTTCTCCTTCAAATCGCATTTTAACATTCACACATATTTTTAATTACCTAAATACGTATTTCATTAAACTAAATATCTTATTTAATAAAAAATAGTCAAAATGCTTCACATAAGAAACAATTTGTATCTTATAAAATCAAATAAAAAATAAAATTACATATATCTAATTACACTTTGATTATTCATCTTCGTACGTTAAAATAATATCCAATCATCTTGATCAAAACAAGTCATCATGGGATAATCCACATGATAATTCAAAGAAACTTGAACAATATCTTTTTATATGTAATTATTTACTCAAAGTTTTATTTCTATTAACAAATTATTTATTACAAGACTAAATATACACGTGCAACGCACGTGCCGAGAAACTAGTGTGTGTGTATATATATATATAGTGGTACACAATTAAAATACAGAAGATATTTTCAAAAACTACATCTTGGTAAACAATAATAATACATAAGATTATAATTCAACTACATCAAATATACATAGTAAAATTTATACAATCGAAGCAAAATTCTTGAACAAATTCTTCAAAGGAATTGAAAATGATTGGGGTCGTTTTGGTGCTTGCATGCATCCTTCTATTTGTTTGAACTTTTGAGAATCAAGACTTTTTTTTCTTTTAGTTTTCTTCTCTCTCTAGTCTCGATCTATCTCTATTTTTTTGTTTTGTGCGAGGCCTGTTACTGAAAGGCAGCCATGGTGTCCTTGTTTCTTTTTTCTCTTGCGAACTTGCTGAAATTTAGAACAGAAAATAAAAGGAAAGAGAATGTGAAAAGTTAAATATGGATCCCATGATTTATGTATTCTGTTACTCATTAATTGTGTGCATAATTTTTGCAATATGCTAATA